TTTCTTGTGGGCTCACAGCTGAGCATTGTGTAGAAAGAACAGTTAAGTGGCTCAGAAAAAACAAGGAAGAAAGAAATAAAGTGGACATAAACTGGCAGTGAATGGTGTTGTTCAACGTAAACATCAGTGAAGAACCTGTTCACCCTATAGTGGTGGCCATAGACTCATGAGGTAATGTAGGGACGGGAATAATGGCTGCTAGTGTTAAGGAAAAGAAGCCAGCATCGTGTTGGAAATATCTCAGATGTATTTTTGTTACTGTAATCAATTTGTCCAACCAAATATCTGTATTGTGCACAATGTTACATTTGGTAAAAAATACCATGGTAAGTTTAGTGGGATACTGAAAGTGAAAAATAAAGCTTCAATAAAGCTGCAAACAGACCTTTTGCCTTATAACATCAGTGGCTTCATTCAAACATTCCAAAGGTTTTTTAAATGCAATTGTTTTTTTTAATATTGCAGCTGGTGTAGGACATTTTGTGAATTTTGTTAATTTCCCCATTGTGGCACAAATAAAGAACTACTTAATCGTAAATAGAATCCATCATATCTAAAGGAAACAGGTGACTACGGCAGCAGACACACGTGAGTCATGTGTTTCACTGAAAAGCTTGGTGTGTCAAATTAAAATGAATAAAAATCCAAACTCTGCTTTGGGCAGTCGCATACGATACCCCTCTTTTTTCAGCCTCTTTCCACTTTCAGGTATTCACAGTTAATGCAGAGAATGACAGTCTCACAAGTGAGACTGGGAGGCCGACCCTCCTTTTGAAGGGTCCTCATTTAAGTTAGTATTCCAAAATGAATGAATACCATTAATAGTCAGGGATGGTTTAAACATTGTTAAGTTTTTTTCGGAATGAGCCGCTGATTTTTGACTTTGTTTTAAATGTTTTTTATTTTAAAAGAAGATCCATAGTAAATCTAAACACTTTTACACAGTGCTGTAGATTTATAATCCTCTATCTTTACATGATAAACTTATACAGTCCCGACTTAATATTCCAATTTTAAACAATAGTGTTTAACTCTAAATGCCTATGTGACTATGTGACTGCTCCCTAATTTTGAAACATCTTTACATTTGGTCTTTTCTCTTGATTGACACAGCACAAGAACACGGGACAATTAAGGATAGTGATGTTAGAGTTTTAATAAATAGAGTCTTTTGCCCTGAGATATTATCATTCTAAAAACTGCTGTTATCTCCCCTTACACACACCTTCAGCCTGCTGACTCACCATGTTCTGCCACAGACGTCATCACCCCTCATTGTGATGCAGGTTGCTATGATCCCCGGTCTGTCGTCTTCTGTTTTTTAAGTAGCTGCTCTAGTGAAAGTCAGCCCTGCACCTCTGATGCATCTTGTGGTTATACTCTTATACTAAATGACAAAAACAGATGCATCAAACGTGTAATTCAGTGATGCTATATGCTTTTTTTTTATTCAAAGGACAATTTTGAGACGTGTAATTCAGTGATGCTAATAATAATTGATTTTTTTTTATTCAAAGGACAATTTTGACTTGAAAAGGAGCATTTTTTTACTGTTGTTGCAAAATGATCAGTGGGCCATGGTCATCCCAGCGACCAGATGTCCTACCACAACACCTAATACCTGATTTAAATGGTACACCTTCTCCTGTTCCTTATTTACTACAGCAGATCTTCTGTCTTCCCAGAAAGGGATTCTCCTAATTGTCACATCCACCTGCTCGTCACCTGGTTTTTCATTCACAGGCATGGTACCTCATTCATTAGTCGTGAAGGTCAGGTAAAAGGAACTTAATGAGTTGAGGTGAGGCTGCTGGTGTCATGTTACTTATCTAGTAATACAACAGTGGAGACTGTTGTTTCAGAGCCCTGCTGTGGGTTGGAGGAGAGACCACCCATTAAAATCTCAAACTCAGGCTATTGTTATACCTCCAAGACAGAATCAATAGGGCTTTTTAAATCATTTTTTTGGTGTAGTTTCCACCATTTGCTTGTTTTTAATCCCACTTTTATTAGACATAAACTCAATAAAAGAGGACTAGTTTACAAGACACTTTCAAAATATATTACTTTTACTTTTTTGCTTCAGTTTGAAGACAGTCTGTATTCCTTTTCACTGTTCTAATAATCTTAATCTGCGTATGAAATTATGAAAAACAGTTAAAAATGTATATAAATCACATCCTCTGCTCCCAGCCTGTGCACCTTTACATCAATGTGTTTTGGGGCTTAACTAAACGGAAGTGTTCGTCATTACTGCCAAATTCATGTTGGCAACCAAAAAACTGACACAAGTTGTACTCTTACGAGGACAATGCCAATACAGAGATTTTTCTTTTTTGCAGCCGTAAATCTATAAACTGTCGTGTGTAAACACTAGAACAGTAGCAGTGCACACAGTGATCTTAATTAGTCCTGACCATGTTAACCCAGAGTTTGCCCCAGGCTTGATGTTGGCTCGGCTGCTCTCTTTCTAAACACGTCGAGGTCAGTGATGTAAACGTTAGATGGCTACTCAGAAACCAAGTCTTGCCTGAAGTGATGCTGTGATCTGGTTCTACTTTAGGATTTTAGCAGAATGTCAAGGACAACACAGGAAGTAGGAAACTGTTAAATTGAGATAAATTAGCTTTGTTGCCTTAATGTCATTAAGAATGATGGTAAAACAATTTAATGTTATTAAAGAAAGATCATGTGCATATAAAATCATATTTCTTACAGATAATGTGAAATAATATAAACGGTCAAGAGCCATTCTTTGTGTGTGTATATGGCTCTGCTGCAGTATGAAGACACAGTCAAGGTGAATGGATGTGATAAACGTGTCTGCAGGGTGGTTATGGCCCCGTTGAGTGCTTTTCAGGCTCAGATGCCTTCCAGTCCCACGTCTTGCTGATTAAAATAAGCTTGACTCTAGATGTTCTCCGGGCTTTTAACACACTGGGAATAATAGCCTATCATCAACCACTATAAGAGAACCATTTCCTGAGGACAAATGGACATTTAATGTAGGTCACCAGATGCAGAATGGACTCATCCCGTGTTAGTAGTCTTACGAGGATGGTGATGTTAAGTCCGGGCAGATACTGTATTGCATGCAGTAACCAGAGAGGCTGTGTGTGTGTGTGTGTGTATGTGTGTGTGTTGCTAACTGGATTATGTCTGAGAGCTTCCTGGGTACAAGCTTATTCTCTATTAGCTGTGTCTTATTTACAGCAGCTAATGCTCTGATATCTGGGTTCACTGCTCATTGCACACTCACACACACATGACTTCATGTCAGTTTCAAAAGCAGAGCGTTGGGGGTGTATAGTGTAGCCACGCGTTGTTTGTGTGTGTGGTTCCTACCGCGTGTGTGTGATGCTACAAACGTTAACTCGTGTTCTCAAAAGACTGGAGGCTCGGAGATCCTGGCATGTCAACACATCCTCACACTGCTCCTTCGAGATGATGTAATGCCTGAAATCGCATTGACCAGATTATTTAGGTTCTGGATTAGCATCTGGTTACTCAGCAGCATTGGACAGAACAGTCACAATAGGGTGGTGGGAACTGGTCTTGCTAATACCCCAGGATCATAATTGGATCTGGCATTTCATGATATATATGTATGTATTATTATATATATCATGATACAGGTTTACAGGTTTAAGTCGGAAAAGGTTTGCTTCCAGAGCTGGACAATGGTACACCGTAGCAGTTGATCTTTGGCGTGAGGGTGCGTGTAAATAAAAAAACTCTTAGTGTAAATTGAATAACAAACCCTCAAGGTGTTAGAGCATGTGCAGGCACAGAGGCGTCGTTTTTAATACATCTGTTAAATTAAAGAACACTTTGTTTGTTTTATTCTGTAGATCTCTTGAAAATCAAATCACCACTTATCTCTTATATGATAGGCTGTTTTGTGGGGCATTTTAGTCAGCCTGCTAACACGAAAACAATATCTCACAACTGCCAGCATCTGCTGGTGATGCTTGTTCAGATTTCACCCCTTGAATTCAAACATGTATGCCTTGGTTTGAATAAATATTTGACACTTGAATCAAAAGTGATACCCCTAAAAGTTGCATACCTTTATTTAGGCAGTGACTCATCTGACGGGTTATAAAGAAAGTGTGATTTAATATCATGTATTTGGTTGTGGTAAAGTGAACCAGACATTTGTTATTGATTGACTTGAATTTAGGTCAGTTTATTTTGCTACTGTATTCAGTGAGGATATCTCTCCTATTTTTGAATTAATTTAAAGAATGTCACACTTGCACAATGTTATTTGCTCAGTTCAGTATTTATGAGAAAATCAAAAGATTATTTGCTCAGTTCAAGTTCAGTATTTATGAGAAAATCAAAAGGTTGGTGTGTATTTTTGAGACTTCTATTGCATTTTTACTGCTACCATTACTACTGTACGTTCCTTTAGGCAGAATCAGAAAAGTCATACTCTTGGGTGGAGCTGTGTAAACACCCAGGAAGGCAGGAAGGTGTGAGGTGAAGTGACACTGGCGTCTGAAATGCATTCCTGTGGTTGTAGACATTGCACGGCTGTAGCTTTCTCTCTCGAAGCTGCGCCTCTGTTCCCCTCCCCCAACACCTTCATCATTTAGATCTGACATGCATTTGTGTTTCTTTACCTTTTTTGTTTTAGCTTTTAGCTTTGAAAATACTAGAAAACACGAATAAGCATACCTGTTTAGGTTATACTGTTGTAGAGGTATTAGTTGCTATCTTTACCATACTGAATTTGGTAAATCCTATAAAAAATAAAATGCTTCATGCTGCAACAACTGTGACAATGGCAACAACAACATTGATAACAGTAATCACAACAACAAAACCAACTTTTGTATGTTGGGCATATATTCAGAATGTAAAGCTAAGAACCTTAAAGTGCTCGACTGTCATTGTTCTGTTTGGTGCAGGACCTTTTGACTCGAATTGCAACTAAAAGAAAATACAAAAATACGAAGAAAATACGCTCGGGGACTGCGTTGTTCACTTTTATCTTGTCACCCTGTAACTGAGAAAGTGATGTCATTCTGCCTCTGTCTGTGTGTGTGTGTGTGTGTGTGTTTAGCCACTGTGCATAGTCAAGACTGTGCCCAGGACTGTATCTGTATTCCTTCCACACAGTAATATTCCTAAATTTGGTCTTAATATGATCCTCAGAGTTGTCCTTGTTGTATAACGTTCCCAACAGCGGAACAAATGCAGCATTAGTGAGTCACGGAAGTCATTATCTCCACTACCGTTAGTCCCAGAAGTCCCTGGTGCCCTGAAGTCTGGTCCCTCTGCACTGTCTCTTGAGAACAATTCTGTTCAATTCTGTTTGGCCTTTCCTACCAGTCATGTCACAGACAGGTACTTTCTTAAGCATCACATTCAACCAGACACTGTGCTTTCCTGAAATAAACAGGTTCCTCCCAGTTTACGCAGCATGCCCCCATCTGCCGTTAATCCTACTCAGCATCTATTCTTTCAAGTCAAAACACCTGTGCTATGTAGTCATGTTTAGCTAACGTTGAGCTGATGTTGAGCTTCTCTTCTCTACATGTATTTGTGCTGCCTGTCACGTTGTCACCAATTACTACAATCATAAATCAGTCATTTCAAACAGAATGCATTGAATTTTGATTTTAAATTCAATTAAAATTAAGTAAAAGCAAAGTTTTTAGCCACGGTTGGAGCTGAACAAAGAAAGTCATGGTATCATCACTTCAGTAATCGCCTGAGGTCAGTGGAGAGAGTTTGTTTTGTAAACAGTGTGGTTGTGGTCTTATAGCTGTGTTCTCAGAGAAGAAGCAGTTAAAGATACACATGTGTGGTTTTAGCACTAACAAAGCTACTTTGTACTTTGAGTCATCATGCATTTTGAGTTTGATTGAAATTAGTGAATATGTCTGTTGTTGTGCTAAGTTGATCTACAACAGCCTTGACTCTTTTATGTTGTTTTCTTGCAATGGAAGAATTAAAAACATGTTTTTGTTTGATTTTTCTTTCTTTTTCTTGTAATTTTTGTAAAGCTATGATAAGTGTTTAAATTCGATTCATTTTTTTAAATTAAATTATGACCTTGTACTATTTGGCATTCATCAGAATTAAATTACATGCATACAACAGTTGCATCCCACCAGCATTTGGTTATTGTCCCTGTTAATGACCCCAACCCAATAACTATAAATATCATGTTAAAATGCTCAGACTCTGACCACTCCATTAACCTGGGTTTGAACCTGCAGTTAAAAAATCAGAAGTGATTAATAAACTATTTACTGTTTGTATTAACAGGAAGAAGTCCTTTCTCTTTTCGGCACTCTACGCTGCCTTCATCCTTGGGGGTCGCCATGTCATGAAACAGAGGGAGAAGTTTGAGTTGAGGAAACCACTGGTGCTATGGTCTCTCACGCTTGCGGTTTTCAGGTGAGAGTCCAGGACTGCAATACTTTTTTTTTTAAAATAAAAACAGGCTGTGTCTGCTAAGACTGCTTTATTTCATGGAGTAGATTAAGTCATTTCACTGTTTTAATATTTGTTTCCCTGCAGCATATTTGGTGCCATCCGTACTGGCGGTTACCTGACGTACGTCTTGATGACGAAAGGGCTTAAACAGTCAGTTTGTGACCAGAGCTTTTACAACGGTCCCGTCAGCAAGTTCTGGGCATACGCCTTTGTACTTAGCAAAGCTCCAGAATTGGGTGAGTTATTGTCTTCTGGTAGCATATCTAATATTATAATGCGCACTATCACTAATTACACTTTGTCTTTGTAATAACCTTTGTCTTATATTCCCTCCCACTTATTTTCTCTATCTTGCTTCCTTGCCCCACACAACATCCTTCTGCACTTCTGCATTCTCACCTGTAGGTGACACTCTGTTCATTGTGCTGAGGAAACAGAAGCTCATCTTTCTGCACTGGTACCACCACATCACTGTGCTTCTTTACTCCTGGTACTCCTACAAAGACATGGTGGCAGGTGGTGGATGGTTCATGACTATGAACTACCTGGTTCACGCCGTCATGTACTCTTACTACGCCTTGCGTGCTGCCGGCTTCAAAGTGTCCCGCAAGTTCGCCATGTTCATCACGCTGACCCAGATCAGCCAGATGGTCATGGGCTGCGTGGTCAACTACCTGGTGTACTCATGGATGCAGCAGGGTCAGGAGTGTCCGTCCCACATGCAGAACATTGTGTGGTCCTCCCTCATGTACCTCAGCTACTTTGTGCTTTTTGTCCAATTCTTCTTTGAGGCCTACATTGGCAAGTCTAAATCATCTGCTAAAACAGTCACTAAGAAGAGTGACTAAAGTTGAATTTAAAAAAATGCCATAAAGATGGGGAGAAGGGAGACGACATAGAACAAAGGGAGAAGATGAGAAGTAAAGGGACCAGTTATTTGAGAAGAAGAGGGAGAGAGTGAGGGTTTGAAAGATTGTAGAGCTTAAACCAAGGCCAAGGAGGTTTGGGGTGTGGAGGTTGGGGTGGGAGGGTGAGAGGCTAGCTGGTGTTTGTGCTTGAGCATTACTACTAATGTGCAGATGTAAAAAGCCTGTCTGGAGGATGCTGGGAAAGCCGGCGCCACAGCTATCAGAAGCCATCACGTTGTCCACCTGAAGTCTACAAAAAAAAAACATGATTTTTTAACATGAATAGTTGTTAAAAACAAACAGAAAATAAAAAAAACGCAGATTAAAATCTGACAAATGTTTACCTTTTATTAAAATAAAATCATACATGTGAAGACAGAAGGAGCATATCCACCTGAATATGTTCACATCTGTCATCTGTGTTTGTTGTTTTGGTTTGGTTTTTAAACTGTCAAAGAAAATGGTTGAAACACTGGTGATGCTCGGACCTGCTGGTTGATGTAAAACCGTGGTGTGAACAGCACTATATCTTCTTTGTCTTTCGTTACAAATTGTGATCTTTCTTCTCAGGTTTTAGGTTATTTATGAATATAATATGCATATCAATAGAAGGTTTTTTTTACATCAGCACTGGCCCACAGTATGGCAGATACTACATTCAGCATGGGCACAGATTCTGAAAGAAAGCCAGGATGAAGAAGATTGGATATACAAATTACTATGAAGGAAAAGTGGATGCCTGCAGTGCCGTGCTGCACTTCCTTGAAAAGTTGCCGACTGTGTTTGGTGAAGAACCTGTTGATTTTTTTCTAATGCTTGACGAGGACTGTCACTTTTTCCAACACGTTTGAATATATTCTTTTAATTTTGCTTAACTTTGTATGTTGTTTAGTGATTTATGATTCTTTTATCCACCCAAAAACACAAACTCTCAATTCCCTAGTCTTATAATTTCTATGCAGTTGTTCATCTGCTCTAGTGTCAATTATCAATGAGCAGTATGCCCGTCTTAGGTAGGCATAGATGTTTTATTATTTTTCCCGAAGCAGATGTAGAAAATGTGGCTAATGGAATTTCATGACACTCCAAAAAAAACACTGAACATGTACCTTTTAGTCACTTTGAAACCATAATTGTCTCTAATGGTGACTGTTTAACAAATTCAAACATTCCTTTTTATTAGGATGTCTAATTAAGCATCATGTGAGCAGCATGCACAGGCAAAGAGAAATGTGTTTTTTCGAGAACAAACAAATAGCACCTCAGAATTAGCTGATTTTCTGTAATTTCCGCAGCTATTGTACAACCAGGAGAACTTTCTGGCTTGATTTCTAACAGCAAAACATCAGTCCTAATGTCACTGTCCTTTTTTTTTTTAACCATCAAAGACATATTCTCAAGGGGCTTTAAATCCTGAACTAAGACATTCACACCACGTTCAAACTTTGGATGAAAAATGCCAGCCCTTGATTGGACTAGGTCACCACCAGCACCACCAGTGAAGAACACAAAGCTGAATGCTTGAAGCGTGAACGAAGGATGAACATTTTTTTGTTTAGTAAATAAAAAAGTGAAATATTAAACATGCAAATTGTCACAATCTGCTGTGTTGACTGAAAACGTGTAACTTAATGGCGTCTGTTGTGCTCTTGTGCATTTGCACTGTGTTAATGTCAAAAACACTTGTTGCTGAAAAAATAATGTATAAACAAAGAGTGCTAAAATGTCACATCTCTGGTGTTTGTTGTTTTTTTGTTATTTATAAGTTTTAGCTTTTGATGATTGAATAATTTGCAAAGCACTGTGGAGGATTACAAATGAATTTTAGGATTAATGTCTGGCTTTTTACACCCTAGCAACAATTTGGGAGGTTCAAAACCACAATACAGTTCATGGTACACATTGGCTACACTACTGAATATAACTTAGTCACCTACACTTGGCATGAACCAAAAAAAGTGTTCCTTGCTGTCTTTATGATTTATTAATAGGATAACCCTTAATCAATAAAATTAATGAAAATAACAATTACAAAAAAACAGAATTAAACTAGAGAGAAGTATAAATGGTACTAACGCAATTCTCAGTCATTCTTCAGTAATAACATATACGTGTACATAATTTATTTTGATAAATACCAGTAAATAACACACAGAGACAGGTATAAATACAGACACACGTTGTACACGGTAGTATTTTTACATGCAAATAACACATTTTATCACAATTTGTAATTTTCGCTGTGATTTCCAAAACAAAAACAACTTAAATATAATTTAGTTTATATTTTCCTAGAATATTTCTTGACGGTTTAAGTAGCAAATAGATTTTTTGTACATATTTACCGGACAGCAAATAGCTTTTGTTGAACTTAGTGTGTGACGTCATACCTCTAATTAGCCCAATTAAACACCTGGTCAGTTGGCGTCAGTCAAAACAGTCGTTTGAAAAGTTTTAACTCTCGGAGACGTTTTTTTTTTGTTGTTTATTTATTTATTTATTAAAAACTAAACTACTGACCTACATTAACGCACATTGAGGTATTACTCCATGGTTGTTTTCCCTATAAATAAGAACCAGGAGAGCTGCGAACACACTGGTGGTGAGTACGTAAATGCAAACCGTCAGTGGTCTAGTTTTGAAAGATTGTTTACAAAACATTTGATGGAATGTTTCCTAATTTGAAGCAATATTTGTCAAAACCTGTTTAAATTTTAGTTAATTTTATTCAAGATTTTGCGTAGTAAAGTAAGTAGTATTTCCTGTTTGGAAATCACAAATGGTAAAACTGTGATTAATTAATTACTAAATTGAAAAAGAAAAAGAAAATGTGTTAAAACGATTTGTTCTTTAAAATTATTTCTGTTCTTAGCCACATTACAGTAAGCTTTTGTAATTCTGTATTTACTTGAACTCAAAGATACTGTGAAACTACTAAAAATAAATGAAGAAATAGAAGCTAGGCTAAATAAAACTCAATAAAAGTGAAAAGCGAAGAAACATTAGACTAATGTATAACATAATATATGCATATATATATTTATTATACTGTATATTTATTGATTCATACACAACCTATCTACATTGTTGACGTTGCAAAATTTCAAGATTTTTTATGCTCTGTCGCCGCCTACTGGAATATGGGCAACACCTTACAATTACATTATTATATAGTACACAAATATAATATAATAATTCTTTTAAAAAAGTATTATCATTAGTCTTTATTAATCAATTAATCATTAAGTCATCTAGTGATAATTGCGTCCAAAACTCTAAAACATACTTTGAGAATCACAGAGAAACAAACAAAAACAAATGTAACAAGTTTAAATAAATAAATGATCAACCATCTTTAGGCCATATTCACAGCATCTTTGTATATTTAAGGCTATTTTATTGAATAATAAAAACTTTAAATTAAACGACATTCCATGTTATATCTAATAGTATATTGGATTTTTTTTTCCTTTGGTGCATTTAAGAGGTGTAGCAATAAATATTTAGTACTATTTGCTGATTTAAGTTAGTTTGTTTCCTTTTAAAGGAGAGTATATACGAGAAAATATTTCCCTATTGCCCCTCAGGTGAGAAAATTATCTATGGAGTTTCCAGGTGTAGGAATTCTTTTCCGTCTTCCTGTGACACACAGATTCTGTCTGGCATGTCCACATCCAATATGTGCATTAGGCCCCCTCCACTTTTGAAATCTAAATCTGCCAAAAACCTTTCAAACTAGGGCTACTCTGTCCTTCCAAAGAGTGGCAGAGACCAAATACTGACCTTAAGGATCAGAGCAAAGCCTTTGAGTGGGTAGTTAATTCCCTCTTTAGCCCTCATCAGCTGTCCTCCAGGCTGGGATGGAGATGTGAGTGATAAAGCAAAGCTAGTCCCATCTGGCAGAAACATAGAGAATTAGCTAGAGAAAGAATTACAATACTTGAGTTGTTTTAGTTTGCTTCTTTTTCCAACACTTTAGCCATAACTTCTGATGAAAATTGCGAATGGAAATGTGAACACTTTCATAGAATTTATTGAATTAATAGAAAACAGTAATAATCATTTAAATATGGGGTTAATAATCATTCCTGATTTACCTATAGTCAACTACCCACAATACCATTTAATTTATAATAGAATCAAAAATTGCCTTTTCTTTAAGACACAGAAGATGATGTGTTGGCCACGACAGTGGAACAGGAGTCGTCATAGCAGACTCTGGAGAAAACATAATTGCTGTGTCAGCTCTCTGATATGAAGGACTTCCGGTTGAGCCAATGTATTGTTCTGGTAAGTACCCCCAACCTTTATCACTTTAGTGATGCACAAAGAACATGTTGAGCCCAGTCTGTCTTAAGAGTTTGCCAAAAATATTCTGCAAGAACACACAATAGAACTAAAATTGAAACATGTTTTTTAGTTTCACTACTACAAAAACAAGATAAGAACAGCTGGAACAAAAATGCAGCACCCATTGCATATTCATGTCATGTTCTTTGACGAAAGAGCATACATTAAATACATGGTCCACCTGAGAGTTCATGCTTCTGAATGCACTCAAACCCAAATGTACAGCTCTGTTCACTAGGATCATAACTTCAGTCGAGGTATTCATAATTCCTGCTTTAGTCACCTTTATCTTTGATTTTAATAACATTTAAATTAAATCTTAAATTATGATCACACCTTTCTTGGCCACTGTTACTTACAGTGCCAGTGACTTTATTGCCTCTGTTGTTACTATGGGAGACTCACACAAGATAAATTGCTCAATTTCATCTTTACCAGCTGTTTGGAGTCAGTGCCCTAACCTATTTGTTAGCACTAATGGAGGTCAATATATAGATAAGTGTGTCTTTCCAGGAAAATCAATATCTATGTGGTATCACTGATGGTTTTCCAGCTAAAGTGCTTTGTTTTTTCTTTTCTGCCATTGCTTCAAAACAAAAAGGTGCTGAGTGCTTCTATTAACAATTCCCAGCCAACCTTGAGAGGGAGCCGTAGGCAGAGTAAGGGACTGAGACGCCAGAGGACAGATGGGTCTGTGGTGATGGAGTGTAGCAGCATCGGTACCAGCACCACTAGAGCGTTAGATTTGGAGGAGAATAGAAATACATTGTCTTTGAAGAGTTTTAAAGAAGTCTGATGAGGTGCAATGAGACAGAGACTGCTGTTAATGGTCAACATAATCTTTCAATTATACCACAACAATTTAACAGAATGTGTTTTTTAAATGGAAATGGGATGGTTTAATGGAGTTAAAAAAAGCAGTTTTATTTATGAAATCAAAGTTTTTATTGAAGAAATGCTATTTTCAGAGTAAGAAAATGGAGCTGATAACAAATACAATCTGATGAAAAGAAACCTGTGAGTTTGATAAACACTAGTTAAGTTAGAGATATAAATATTCATGCTAAATTTGAATATACTGTAGCTAAATACTTAGATCTTCTCTTTAGTTTGTATTTAATTTCTAAAACCCAGTGTGTGTGTATGTGTGTGTTTGATTATTATAAACTGTCTATAATTTCCTTAGTGTTAAAGCAAATCCTCTGTGGCATATGAAGCTGTAGAATGTGCTGCCCTATTTACAACAAATATGGGGAAATCACTGCATTTAATGAGTGCATAAATATACTCAGTTAAAAAAATCACAAATGTTTCCATTAAGCTCTGAGTGGATTGTTTATATATACCAATCTACTCCTGATTAGGCACCTAAGTTCTATAAGATTATAATAAAAAAAAATGACATCATGTTCAATAGAGAAGAGAAAAAAGAAGAGAGAGCAGACATGTATAATTTGTCTTTTATGCATAACTTTGGGCAAAATTAGACTAGATTTTAGTCTTAGTATGTGTATTTTTTAAGCTAACTTACTTACTTACATACCAATTTATTAATATAGAAACATTATGTACAAGACAAACTTTTCACCCACACATGTGACACATAAAACCAGCACAGACATGGACAGATTTAAAAAGCTGTGGCCTGGAGTTTTCACTGTAACATGGTATCAATCTCTGGGGTCCTAGGACACTCCACCTCTGGGGTGGTGGTCTGAGAGAGTGGCCGGTTTAAAAGTTGTACAAGAATATGTATTTGACACCGAATGACTGCGCTGACAGTCGACAGGGGCCCTGATATCCACGGCAACAGCCGACATCATGGAACACTCGTAGCCTCTGTTGTGTTTGGACAGTGTGTCCGACTCTTCAGACCCTTGGGTGTCACCTGATGATTTAAAACAAACTTGAATTTAGATCTAAAATATTTAGATGTGAGACTCTGGAATAGTTTGAATATGCTTTGGCGTAAGGTGAATAAAATGAAGGTACTTGTTTCTGAAGAGCACGACGGACAGATGGCTCTCCTGGGGCAGGCCAGGGCAGGAAGTTTTCCTTCCAGACTGTTTTCAATCAGCATGTAAATCTGCGGGTTTGTTCAAAACTTTGTTGATTTTTAAAAAAATCCAAAGACTTCTGCCACATTGTTTTAATGCTATTTCATTATAATACGTACTATAATTATTACTTATAACTCAGTATAAGGCAAAAATCCTTAAACAAAACAATTCACAACCAGAAAAAAAGGGTTTATATTGAGAAGTAAATATAACATATTTGAAAAAGTTAATTTTATTAGTGAAAAATGCAGAGTCCAAGAGCATTTTTAAATGGCTTTTTGAGTAAACCTTTTAAATTTACAAAAGTCTGTAACAATATATTGTCATCATTATTATTTTTGTGTTAAAAAGGTAGGGTCTTTACCTGAGGTGTACTGGAACTAGTTGCTACTGACATGCTATCTTCTGTCACACTGCTCTCACTCACATTATCCACCGAAGGGTGTTTGCAGAATTTCTTTGTTCTGTAAACATGAAATAGAAAACATAAATCTTTCAGGTTTTGGGTCAAATGCAATCCATTTAAAAAGTACTGTATAATACATTTGCAAAGTTTAACATTTATCAAAACTAATAGTATTTAATGGTTTTGTGGAGAGTGGAAAACCTTTCTTTGAATTTTATGTTTAGTAATGCATATTGGCCATTACAAATGTGATAGCATTGCAGTCCCTAAAGATGCAACAATGCACATTTTTCCAAATTGTTTGTGCTGGTGAGGAAACTAAAGTGCTGCATTAAAAAATGCTCAAGTGCATTCATGCCCAAGTGCGGATTGTAATTTGAAGCATAGCATTGTCAGCCATGTATCCCCACCACTGGGTGGGGGGTCATACCTCAACAGCTCCATTCTGTTGCTGAGAAATGACCTATTTTTATGTGCAATTGCCATAGAACAGGCTAAACCAAGCATGTAATTGAAAGCGTGCCACTTCCACTGGGGGAACCAAGGCCGGGGATGTCAGAATGTAGTAGGTGAAAAAGGAAGGAGAAGGAGGCAGAGCATTTGGTAAGTCAGGATAGTGGAGAATGATAACAGCCTTGTTTGTAAGCCAGAGAAACAAAGAAAAAACAAATCAGCTCTTTGGTGGCAGCTCAGAAAGGAGTCAAATGGAGGAGGGCTGGTAGAAGGTAGTTTTGCATGTGCTCTTTGTTCAACCAGTCCAGTCAGTGGTCCGTCATGCCATTTAAACCATAACATCATCTGCACATTGACTTTTGACCTTTTTGTTTCTTTCAAATATGACACTTCTTAGAGCCAGTTATATTCTGTCAGCTACCCTTAGAAAGGTTAACAGGGGTGTAAGAATTGGTGTCTTTTTTTCTCCAGAGAGTAGAGAACTCAGTAATCAAAATACTTCCGTACATAAGTACACATGTACAACGCCTTAGTTGCAAGTTTGTGGGCCATCACAGAATCAACAGGATTCTGGGTGAGTTTTATCATTTCTTATTTATAATATTTTTGTTTTAAAATGACACAATATGCTGCCATAGCACAATGGGGGCTTGAGTTATAACATCTAGTTTAATGTTTTTTCAACATTGTCTCAGTTTTAATTAGTGTAATATGTAATGGTATTAGAGGGAGGAGCATCATTAGCTTTGTTTTTTTTTTTTACCATATTATATGTGTGTGTGTTTCCTCTTATACTCAAGTTACATATGCCGCCCCTCTATATTGCAGTATCATCTCACCCGTAGCAGTAGGTGACACAGGCAGTGATGGAGAGTAGGGAGATGAGCCCCACCATGCAGGCCGCAATGACCACGTTCCTCTTCTTCTCTTCCTCAGTCTGCTGTAGCTCCCACCACTCTGGGTCACTGAACTGACAACGTTCTCCCACGTAGCCTGGCAAACAGCTGTAAAGATACAAGTCACCATCATTTGGTTGTGTTCTCAATAATATTAAATTTAAAATTAAATAAAGTTCAAAATATGTAAATACATTTTTCCATGCTTTTACTTTTTTGTGTTAATAAATATAACCATATAACCACTTTACTTCAACTGCTGTCTCATGGTGCACCAGTCTTAGTCATAGAACAACAGTGACACCAACTGGTTGGTTGCTATAACTGACGTAGTCTTTTAAGAGGAGGTTTTTGAAAGCGTGAGTACAGTCTTTTGCTGATTACTTTTTCTTCTTAGAAAAACGTTATTTACTTGCAGGCATATGTATCCATCTCAGGAAAGTAGAAGCAGACACCCTGGTACAGACAGTATGACTCATGGGTAGAAGGACAGCTCTCAGCTGAATTACTGTTGTGGTGCTGGAAAGTGACATCAGCAGGTCGGCCTGTGGTCACTGATAATGTAGTTTCAGGGTCTGATGGTGGAGAAATGTTGAAGTAATCTCATCAAAATACACAAATACAATGCTAAATATTTGTTGGTCCTTAAGCACATTTCCGTACTTGTTTTAGACAAACCTTGACATGTTTGTTCATTGCTGTTATGTCCGGCCTGACACTTGCAGAAAAACTTCCCCAGGGTATTTTGACATTCTGTGTTTCTGTTGCAGTTGTGTGTTCCCAGTTTACATTCATCGATATCTAAATCCAGGGAGAAAACGGTCAATAACCTCCATAAACTGCACAGATTGGAGTCAGATAAAAAGGTTTCTGTGTAATATGTAGTTCTCGTGACCTTTTTCAGGGTATGTATGTATTCTTTATTCCCACACATTCCCACATACTCACCCATGCACAACTGTCCATCACCTGTGAAACCTTCCACACATAAACATGTGGGGCTGTTAGCCTGCAGCAGACACTGTGCATTCACACCACAGCGGAGAGAGGAACACACACTTTGGTCTGACACAGAAAGAAAAGTTAAATTTAATGTACACACATACACACATCTGCCTTGGGTTTTTCTAAAGGTAAACTCTTACCTGAAACCATTTTTTCTGTAAACACACTGAGCATGTTGCCTTTAGGAAACAACAAATCAATCAATTAATGATTCTGAATCTAAAAGTAAACATCTCAGGACATGCAGCTTTGGATTTACCTGTTATATTAGACGAATCAGCAGGCCTGCATGTTTTCCCATCAGCTGAAAGGATGTAGCTAGGCAGACAGGAACAGTGAGCAAATCCAAGTTTGCTTTCACACACCTGAGTACAACCACCATTATGATGGAGGCAAACATCCGTCCCTGGCAACAATTATGAATATGTTAATGAAAAACCACATTATTTGTATCACTACAGCAGATATCAGCCCATCCCGCCCTATGCCAGGTGTCTTTTGGTGTTACAGGAACAATCTTTGTCATCATACTTAAATGTGAGGACTAGTTCGTTCAAAATGAGCTGTTACTCACATATTATGTAACCCTGTGAAAATAGTATGCAATGTGACAGGTCATTGCCCTCCCTGCCACTAGATGGCACTGTGCAAACCTGCTGGTTATCATGTGGTACAGCTACAGGTGAGCTAAAGGCCCAAGCCTTTAACTCACCTGTAGCTGTATGTGTGAACCCATGCTACAATCAAATTAACTGTAAGTGAGCAAGCGTGCAAGATTGTATTGATGGTATTTGCTTGCAGATATAAAATATAATATTGCCCTTGTGTGTTTGTGTTTCCTCATTCTATTGCTTATGTATCTTTGTTACTCACTTTTATTCTCATTACATTATACCTGGTTTAGCAAGAGGGTGCACCACTACAATGGATGCTGGTTGGAACATCTTGCTGTGAATGGTTTGGAGTCCCTTTCCAGTTCGCTTGTGTATACTTCTAAGTGCCTGGTTTTTCTGATCTGAAATCCAGAGCTGGTCCTCAAATACTGCAAGATCGAATGGCCGACCTGGGGCATTTGAATACAAACAAAAATAATATAAAATATACATCCAGTGAGACAAGCATGTAGTACTAAATAAACAAATGTAATTCTTCTTGACTATATGTGACTGCCTGAGAACATATAATATTGTTAATACTCTAGTCCTGTGCATGTTATGTTATTTTGCATGTTATGGGGTGTTGTTTTGTTAACAAGCCTCACCTACTTGGTTTTCTGGCAGCATCCTCCGGTCTGAGCCATCCAGAGCTGCTGTCTCCACCACACCTCTCTGCTGGTCGCACCAAAACAGACGATCCTCAGTGAAATCAATGGTCAGGCCACTTGGTAATACAAGGTCAGTGCTTGCAATTATAGTTCTTGCTGTGCCTTCCAAAGAGGCTGTTTCTACAACTGGATGGACTCCTATGTCAATCCAAAACAACTTCCTCAAAGTAGAAAAATAGAGAAAAAGAAATTAGGAATAAATAACAAATTCAAATGTGGTTTCTTAGTTCATCAACTTACAGCCTTAGGGGCTTTACCTGGTGTCTAGAATGTGGGCAATATAGAGTCACATGAGACGCCCTTTGGTTTAAGATATTGCCCATATTCTGAATACCAGTTATAGGCAGGTGTACAATTTCTTAATAGAACACTTGGTTTAAAAGATTAAATACAAAGCAAAAATAGTCAAAGTGGTTATTATATACAACTGCAGTTAAATCATTTAGTCTTAGTCTTGGTTTGCAACTATTAAGTGGACTCACTTTGCCAAAGGATGGACTGTAATAGCTTTGGGTTTTTCCAGACCTTTGCTGACAATAACTTCTCTGTTTAGACCAGCCAAGGTAATGGAGTCAACCGATGCCCGGCTAAAACACAAAGTTTCAAAAAGTGTTAATCAAACTTAAGCAAACACTTGCCCTACGCATGCCCTCAAACCTTATTATTTAAAAGACTCGTGTTGCCCATTTAAAAACAACACATACCCAGTATCAGTCCAGTAGATCCTACGATTGATCCAGTCAACAGCCAGTCCTTCTGGTGAATTCAGATCCTCTGATACAACAATCTCTCTGTATCCTCCATTTATATTGATCCGCTCAATAGTCTTTTGGCTTATACTTGTGAAGTACACCTACAAACAACACACAGACGTTGTACATTGTTGTATAGTAATGCAAAAAAGAGCATTGTATGCAGACCGTTTCCCTGTTTCAACTACAAACATCGTAATCACAGCATGTGTCCACTAGATGTCACTAGATGTCAAAGCAAAACCTGAATCAATGCCAGTTATTCAGTGTGAATCATGGGACCTTAGGTTAGTAAAT